CCGAATCGTTCCGAATCGTGCTCCCGCTGCAGCGTGGGCCTCATATTCGGATCGGTGTTTGGCCTCCGTCGTTCAGGATGGCGTTCTCGCCCCAGCGCGGGCCTCTTTCTCGCGCGCCCATCCGCCCGCCACCACCGCGCCGCACCACCACCACCACCACCACCACCACCACCACCACCACCACCACCACCACCACCACCACCACACACCACCACCAGCCACCACCACCAGCACCACCACCACCACCAGCACCACCACCACCACCACCACCACCACCACCACCACCACCACCACCACCACCACCACCACACCACAACCACGCACACACGCACGCACGCACGCACGCGCACCACCACCCACTACGCACGCGCGCGCGGAGCCACAGGTCCGCTACGACACGCGTCCGCGGATAGAGAAAAGTTGCGCCATGGTAAGGGATGGGAGGGAGGGGTAGGACGTCAGATATGACGCGAGCGCACCTAGCTTGCCCTTCCCCCTCCCTCTCCTCCTCTCGAGCCGCGAACTCGGGGCGGGGAGGCGCGGGGCAGGCAGGGGGAGAGGGAGCTGCGCCGGGCGGGCGGCACGGGGGCCCCCCAGACGTTTTAACGGGCGCCCCGCGGCGCGCGGCGCCGCCCGCCACCCCTTTTGGAACGCAGGGGGGAGAGGGGGAGGAGGAGGGAGGGGGGAGGGAGGGTCGGGGGGAGAGCGGAGAAGGGGGATGGGAGTATGTAGGAGGGGAGAGCAGGAACAGGCGGGGGAGGAGGGGATATGGAGGGAAGAGGGTAGGGGAGAGGTGGGAGGAGGGAGGCGGAGGGACATTTGTTTTTGGCCGCTGGTTTTGCGCAGGGTGTGTTCTTTCAGTTTGGGTACAGGCGGCACGCTTGCCTAGGGTGCAAACCGCCTGCCTACGAAACTGACCGAGACCAACTGAGGAGGGTGCTCGCACAGAGGGCCGAGCACGGGAGGCGACGGGGGCGACCCAAGGGGGAAGAGGACAGCAATGCCCAGGGAAACTTCAAGAATTCTACACAAGGGTCTTCAGGAAGCCATTCTACACGAACGTGCCCAAACCTGGCCATTCTACACAATGGCCTGGTTTGGGCACGCTGGTCAAGACCAAGTATCTACAAAGAGACACGCACAGACAACTCCATGGGCAAAGCCGAGAATGAATCGATTCTTGGCGCCTCGCGTTTTCCCACCAGTCCATCCAGGCACGATCGGAGGCTTTCTCGAGGCCTCTTGGAGGCTAACTTGAGCCATGTTGGGCTAGAGGCTGTCGGAGGCTACCCTGAGCCATGCTCAGCTATCTTGGACCGTCTTGTGGCTGTCTTGAGGCCACTTGGAGGTTTGTCGGAGGTTATCTAAGCCATGCTCAGCCTCCTTGGACAATCTTGGCGGTAGGGGGAGGGGGAGGAGAAGAGGGAGGAGGAGGAGGAGGAGAAGGAGGAGAAGGAGGAACAATAAAGAAGAAGGACGAGAGGGAAGAAGAGGAGGAGGAGGAGGAGGAGGAGGAGGAGAAGGATGATGAATGCGGCACGAGGAAGATGAGGCGAAGGAGGAAGAGGAGGAGGAGGAGGGGGAGGGACGAGGATGAGGAAATGAGGAGGGAAGGAGAGGACGATGACAAGGAAGTCGAGCTTTGGAGATCTGCTGTTGTGAATGGTTCTTGAGGGCGACGCAGGCCATCTTGGGGGCTCTCTTACGGCCCTAGTAAGGACTCTTGGGGCGCCCTCTTGGGGCTCAGTCTGGGGGTCTTGGGGTCCTCTTGGGGCTCTGTGGGGGTGCCTGGGAGGCCTCTTGGGGCCAGACTGGCCCCGCTGGGCGGGCTAGGAAATCCAGACACCTCCCTGGGAGGCTCAAAAATGCCGTCTTTGGGAGCCCTCATAGGCCGCTCTTGGAGCGCTCTTGGGCGCTCTTGGGGCCCTGTTAGGCCCCTCTTGGGACTCTCTTGGACCGTCTTGGGACATCTGGAGGTCTCTGAGGCCAGCCGGAAGCGAGAAGGCGAGAAGGCCAAAAACAATTGTTCTCCTCTAGTGTTTGAAGGATTTGGGTCTCCTGGAGGTTGCCAAGGAAGGCTCTAGGGGCACTTGGAACCGTCTTGGGCCCGTCTTGAGGTGTCTTGGAGCCATGTCGGAGGCTATCCTGAACCATGATCGGCTATCTTGGGCCATCTTGGAGGCCATCTTTCAGGAGGGGAAAAAACACACAAACACAATTATTTGTCGATTCCCCAGAAAATATGGGAAAATATGGGAAGAGGGGGGGAAGACAGAACCCAGAAAATATGATAAAATATGGGGAATATGTTTATTTGTGTGTATTTATTTGTGTGTCCCAGTTCCCCTTCAATCTTGGGCTCTCTGAGGCCTCTTGGAGCCATCTTCGACGGTCGAGCCCCATCCGTCCCCTCCCCCCCTCCCAAGGCCCAGGGGAGGGGGCAGGGGGAGGTGCGAATCCCTCCCCCGAGTAGGGGCTGGAGGGCTGTGGGAAGAGAGAAGGCAAGAGTTCGCCAAACCACCAACGCCCAGAGGGCTGGTGGGATTGCGCACAGCAACAGACACTGGGAACGCGCCTCCTGAGCGGGGGGGCGACTAGACGAAGCAAGGCCTGGATCGGCGTGGCAGCGGGCAGAGGAAGTCAGCACCCGGCCTGACTAAAAAGAGACGGCTGCCCTGCAGGAGGAGGAGGAGGAGGAGGCGGAGGAGGAGGAGGAGGAGGCGGAGGAGGAGGAGGAGGAGGAGGAGGAGGGGGAGGGGGAGGAGGAGGAGGAGGAGGGAGGAGGAGGAGGAGGAGGAGGAGGAGGAGGAGGAGGAGGAGGAGGAGGAGGAGGAGGAGGGGAGGAGGAGGGGGAGGGGAGGAGGAGGAGGAGGAGGAGGAGGAGGTGGAGGAGGAGGAGGAGGAGGAGGAGGAGGAGGAGGAGGAGGAGGAGGAAGAGGCAACGCGACGCGCTCCAGGCGCCACGCTCAGACGACGAGGCGCTGCTGCCCCCGCCTCTCTCGCGCTGCGCCTGGCCTCGGGTCACGACACCGCCACCACGGCCGTGCCGCCCCGCGAGGGCCATCCGACGGGCACCACTTCCCCGGCGTGGCCTCTGACAGGGGAACGAAGAAGGACAGAAACCTAAAACTCGGAGGTCCGCGCGGATTTCCCGGATCCGCGCTGGACCCCCTCCCTGGCGCGCGGGAGCGCACCAGGGGCGGCGCCAGGGAGGGGGCCCCAGCGCCGATCCGAGGAATCCGCGCGGACCTCCGAGTTGTTATGTTTTTGTCATTCTTCATTCCCCTGATGCGACCCCCCACGCGCGCCATGGCGGGGAGCCCGGGCCGTGGGAAGAACGGGTGAGCCGAAGAAGAAACAAGGGCACAAACAGAAATTGATAGCGCGCCGCCCGGATGTCTTAGATCCGCGATGGGCCCCCGCGGCGGCGCCTCCAGCGCTGCCTCCGCGCGCCAGGGAGGGGGGTCCTTCGCAGATCCAAGAAATCCGCGCGGAGCGCCAAAAGCAGGGCTGAACCTAAAGCGTGTTCTTCGTTTTCGTTTTGGTCTCGCTTTTTCCCTCGCTCTTGCCTCGCGTCCGCCTCTGCCGCACAACGAAGTCGGAACGAAGACGGCCCAGGAACTGAAAACGAAAGAGAAACGAAACCGGCCCAAAAGTCGAAACGAAAACGAACGGAAGCGAAACGAAAACGAAGTCGAACCAAGAACACCGTGTAGGTCCAGGAAATCACCGAGAACGAAGACGGCCGAGGAAATCACCGAGAGCACCGTGCAGGCCCAGCCCCGGGCGCCAGGAGTTCCTGCCTGTGGCGTCATTTTTTTCTCTCCGAGCGCGGGCACCTCCCCCGCGCGGGGCCGCCCGTGGGCGGCCCCGCCCGCCCCCGCGCACGCCAGGGCCGGGGTAACTCAGGGGGGGCAAAAAACACACACACACACACACACGCACACACACACAAACACACACACACACACACACACACACACGCAGACACACACGCACACACACACGCACCCACACACACACAGACACACTGAATCGCCGTGGAGTTCCGGACTCTCTTCCCAAGAAACATGAGGCGCACTGGATATGGATTACAATCTGCCTCCAAGAGGCTCAATGTTTATCCATATCCAGTGCGCCTCGGCCTTGCGGCGCCCCTTCCAAGAAAGTCCAAGACGCACTGAATATGGATATAAATATTGCCCGCAAAAAAACACACACACACACACACAGACACAATGAATCGTCGATCCCCCCGAAAATCTGGGAAGATACGGGAGGTGGGGGGGAAGACGAAGAAGACCCAGAAGGTATGGGAACCCATGGGGAATATTTTGCTTTGTGTGCGTGTATTTCTTTGTGTGTCCCAGGGCCCCTCCAGGGCACCCCGGCCGTGGAGAGGCCGGGGTGGGCGAGCAGAGCGCGGCGACGGGCCGCGAGGGCCTCCCCCGCCCTCCCCTTTGCCAGGCATCGGGGTCGCCCGCGGCCCTCGGGCGGGCCCGAACGGGGCGACGATGGGGCTGCAACCCGCCTGCGGTAGGTTTGCGTCGTGTCGACCGGCGGCGACCCCGCCGCCGACGTTCAAGGTTGAACGCCGCCGGCGGCCCAGAATCGATCGATGTTGAACGATCGGACGTTGCGGCAGCGGCCGATCGTTCAAGGTTGAACGATCCCCGCGGTGTCAGGAACCAACGCCTGGGTCGGCACGACACGAACCTGCCGTGTGCACCTGGGAAGAGGACCCGAAGGAACAAAGATTCCCTCCTTGGGTTTCGAGCCGATGCTCCGGGGAGCTCATGTCCGCATTGACAGCACGGTCAGCGTGTACGGAGCTCTACGGGGTTCCCGGCGGTAACCTGGCTGACGGTTTATCGCCGGCACCCAGTCGACCGACCCGGCCAGGGCGGACACCTGAGAAGCGACGAGGGAGGAGAGAGGGAGGGAGGGGGAGGAAGGGAGGGGGGGAGGGAGGGAGGGAGGGCAGCCCTGCGTGAGGTCTACGGAGGGGCGCCTCCTTGTCCTCGCGGGCGGTTTCTCGCCCCCGGTCCCCGAGTGCCCAAGCATCGAGGACTGGCCACCGGGACGAGAAAGGCATCTCTGGGTACGCTCTGGGTGCACCCCCCCCGTGGGCTCTGCGGGCGCGCCCCCGTCGAGGGTGCGCGCCGCCTCAGCGTCTGTCCCCGAGTTCGGCCCCGAGTCTGAAGTCGGGCCTGTCCCTCTACAGGGGGAAGATTCGAAGATAGCACTCAAAAAAATACACTCTGGGGACGATTGTGTAATGACCGTTCGTGATCGTCCTGAAGTCTTCTTGGCCCGACCGAGCCTAAGTCCCAACGTCCCACAGGGTCAGGGATGGGGGTTGCCATACCCCCTCGTCGTCCTTGCCGTCGCATTCGTGATCATTTTGAAGTCTTTTCTGCCCGACCGAGCCCAAGTCCCAAAGTCCCACAGGGTCGGGGATGGGGGTTGCCATACCCCCTCGTCGTCCTCGTCGTCGCATTCGTGATCATTTTGAAGTTTTTTTTCTGCCCGACCGAGCCCAAGTCCCAAAGTCCCACAGGGTCGGGGATGGGGGTTGCCATACCCCCTCGTCCGTCCTTGTCGTCGAAGGCCTGCCGAGGGCCTGCGGGAGCCTGCTGTGGTCTCCACGGTGATGGTGGCACTGCTGCGAGAGCCGGAGCGCCGGAGGAGGAGGGCGTGGGCGAGGGCGAGGGGCGGCAGAGGAGGAGGAGGAGGAGGAGGAGGAGGAGGAGGAGGAGGAGGAGGAGGAGGAGGAGGAGGAGGCGGGGGGAGGTTGAGGGCGATGGCGAGGAGGAGCGGAGCAGATCGTCGCCAGAGCGCAGCCCGAGAGCAGTCGGGACCCCTCCAGAGAGGGACTGCGGGGCAGTGCGGGGCCCCAGTCCCAGCCTGCCGCCAGTCTGAGGACCTCCGAAGTCTTGCCGGGTGCTTCCCTGGTGCCTCCTGGGAGTCGGGGGCTGCCGAGAGAGGGTGACCAGGGGGGTTCATGGTTGGAGCCACGACATCTTCTCGGATGGCATGGCCCTTCATGTTGTTCACCACGCCTCCTGGTCACCCTCTCGTCCGCGCACACGCCTCGGGCCACAATTTGCTACACCCCCTGTTGAACGCCCCCGCGGGACCTCCTGGACCTGGCTTCCCAAAGGCCACCCACCTGGACATTCGACTATGCTGTGTCCAACTCGCGGCCCCAGAGGTCGTCGGGCCTGCCCCTCTACAGGAGGAATATTCAAACATATCATTAAAAACAAATAACAAGTCTGGGGACGATGTGTTAACTATAGATGAGCACGTTTTAAGCATGTGTTGGGTATTTTCCATTGTTCTTTCAAAATCCCCCTGTAGGAAGACAGGCCCGACCCAAGAGTAGATCCTGGCTGTTTTTGGCGCCTGCTTTGAGCAGGTGTGGTCTCTCCCCCACAGGGGACGCACTGCCGCAAATTGGTCGCGCTACGCAGAGGTCTGGAGCCAGACCTCCCCCCCTTCCGCCCAGTGTCGAACGCCGAGTAGGAAAACGTGCACATCTGCGCTCCCAGAGGCCTCCCCGGGAGCTCCCCCGGAGGCCGCTGGCGCAGGGGCACGGCACGGCACGGCACCGCCGGCACCCAGGAGGCCGCCGCAGCCGCCGCGTTCGCCCAGGCCGCTCCTCCTCCTCCTCCTCCTCCTCCTCCTCCTCCTCCTCCTCCTCCTCCTCCTCCTCCTCCTCCTCCTCCTCCTCCTCCTCCTCCTCCTCCTCCTCCTCCTCCTCCTCCTCCTCCTCCTCCTCCCTCTCCCCCTCCTCCTCTGCCCGCGCCGCGGCGGGCTGGGCTGCTGCCCTCCCGCCCGAGAGCCTCGCCCTGGCGGGGGGTGCTCCTGCTGCAGGTTCGCGTGGTGCCGACGCGGCGGCGACCCTGTCGCGGGCACTCCGCCGAGCCCCGCGGGCGTGGTTCGAGGAACAAAAAAGAACACAAGCACAAAGACCGCGGAGGTCCGCGCGGATTTCTCGGATCGGCGCTGGGCCCTCCTGGCGGCGCCTCCGGCGCCGCCCCTGGCGCGCTCCTCACGCCAGGGAGGGGGACGCCGATCCGAGAAATCCGCGCGGACCTCCGAGTTTTTAGGTGCATGTAACTTTTTGTTCCCCTGGTGGTGGTGCCGTCTTCCCGGAAAGCTCTTTGGCACCCACGCTGTGCCCCACGGGCCCGGGCAGCCTGGCCGTCGTCCTGACATCGTGCGGCACGCTCCTTGGAGGGCAGGCTTGGGAGCACCTCTTGGGCAGCCTTGGGCCTGCCTTTGGCATGCTCGGGGCCCTTCTGGACCGTCTTGAGGCCCCCTCGGTCAGGAGCGAAACAAGGACGTACGCGTACATGAATGCACGCCGGTTTCGAGAGTACGCACTGCCCGAATGTTCGTATCACGCGGCCAGTGTCGCGGATCTAGGGGCCGCGTTCGTGTACCTAGCTGGGTGCGTACGTCCTTTCTGGGCTCCCTACTCGGGAGCCTCTGAGGAGGAGGAGGCGGAGGAGGAGGAGGAGGATGCAGGGGAGGAGGAGGAGGAGGAGGAGGAGGAGGAGGAGGAGGAGGAGGAGGAGGAGGAGCAGGAGCAGGAGCAGGAGGAGGAGGAGCAGGAGCAGGAGGAGGAGGAGGAGGAGGAGCAGGAGGGCTCCCCCGCGGCCCGATGCCTGGAAGGTCGTCGCGGTTGGACGCCGCAGGTGGCCCTAGAATCGGCCAGCGTGGACCGGTCTGGCGATCGAGAAAAGCCGCCGCTCGTGCACGGCGGGGCGGCCCAGCGCGGAGTCGGAAGCCAACGCAGGGGCCGTCTCGGCACGACCTTGCCGCACTCCCTCTCCCCCCTCCTCCTCTCAGCGAGCGAAGAACGGTATAAAGTAAACTTTTTCCCCGTCGGGGACACCTGCCCCTGGGCGGCTGGAAAGTTTATACCCCTACGGTGCCACCGTAGGGGTATACACTTTCCAGCCGCCTAGGGGCAGGTGTCCCCGACGGGGAAAAAGTTTATTTTATACCGTTCTTCGCCCGTTAAGTTGAGGCTGGCGGTGACGGTCAGTGGTCGATCCTGCGAGCTGGCTCCGGCGCCGCGTCGCCCAGGTCGGCCGCGTCGTCCGGTGGTCTCCAGGCGCGTCTGCGTCGTGGGTGCCCGCGGCTCGGAGGGGCTGCGGGGGCAGCAGGAGGAAGGGCTGGGGGCGCCCACAAGGGGGGTGAGGACTAGGGTGAAGTCGGGCCTGTCTCTCTACAGGGGGAATACTCCAGATCTCGTAATAAAGGGAGGGGGGTCTCATTTCGGGGGGGGTCTCTTCCAGGCTATCTTGGAGGGCCCGGGGGGGTCTGGGGACGATGTTTTGGAGGGTTCGCCCACGGGGGGGGGTCTGAAATAAGACGTTCCATGGTCTCCCTCATCCGCTCACATGCCTCGGGTCGTGATGTGCAGCCCCCTCTTGGATGCCCTAAGAAAGAGCTGAGGTTTACGATGGTCATCCGGGTTCGATCATACGAGTCAGCTCAGACACAAATCGTGCTGAGGGCTATCCAGAGTCAACGCGTCTGCTGTCCCCGTTCCCATGCAACCGAAGCCTTTGAACGATCCAGGTTGCGCGGCCACAGCTGTTCTCGTGTGCCAGTCGAATCGGGCTGGTAGTCATGTAGCCGCGTAGGGACGCATCTCCGCGAACAAGCTTGCGGATTGCGGATGCACGTGTTAGTGGTTGCTCCGCTTGTGAGTTGAGATTATGAAAACGCATGCGGTTGATGTTGTTGCCTCTATTAACTAATTTGCGAATTGCATGGGTTGGTGTAAGCTTGCTTTCTGTCTGGCTCATATCCATCGTACTGTTCGATTCCTACCGTGGCACTGCGGATAACCATATCTCGTTCAAGTTGTCATAGGTCGTGTTCGGATCGTTATGACGAGTAACGTGCTATTCCAATCATCATTCCAATCATCATGCCATAATATTTGAAGACAAGGCGATGTATGTTCAAAGCGTTTGTAAGATGACACACAGTACCAGCCCACAATGGTCATTCAATTCAGCAGCTTACTTGCGCGGGTGCGCTGAGCTCACAATTAGCTACGTTGTAGGACGATTTCTTGGATCGCAAGGCAATGCTGGGCAGTCTTAGCAGCTGCGCGCTTATTCGCAGTCTTGTACTTTCCCCTCTCTCACATCCCTCTCATCACTCCGTACCCTTCTCGTCCCCTCCGCCTTTCCCACCGATTTCACCGTCCTCCTTCGCCCTCGTTCTTCATCCTTCCTTCTCGATCCTTGTGAATAGATGTCTCCTCTACCATCCGAGCGGAGCGAGTGGTCATCCACCGTTTTATTTTCTTGGTCGACAGGTACAAAAAGGCAATGCTCATTCATACTCTAACCCATTCTCACCCAGACTCACCGGCCGTGTCTTTTCATAGCCCCCTGATCGCCGCGATGTAGCACGCATCACTCGCCCTCGGGTCTCCCGAAGGAGGGACAACCAGAGTGTTGCACGGACCCGTTCGCACCCACATTGGTGAGACCTCTCAGGTAGCACGCCCGTTTTGGCAAGTAGACGAGCTGTTTTTTACGCAGCCGCGTGATCACCACAATGCCGCAGGCATCGCACTCGGGCCCGCCACATCACAAAGTGAATCGAAAGTTGTAGTAGAATCTGGCATCCAGCAACCCCACAGTCTCGCATTCGATCCTTTCCGAGACTACCGGGACACAGTGGCAAAGATGTCTCTGTTTCTGGATAGTGGTCCTACCGGTATGAAGTGTTGAGGCTCAGGCAGTGATGGCCGTCACGACTCCAACTCCCGCGTCTCCGACTCAGGTTTCGAATGATCGTCTTTCCGATTCTGGTGTCCACCTCTCCGATTCCAGCTTCAAGGTCGTATCCCCACGTTTTGCTTCCATTCAAGGGAAGAGAAACCACCCAGACCCCGACAATTGTCGTTCACTAAACGGCCCTGGGCCTTTACTAAACAGCCCTGCCCTGTTCGATTCCTTCCTTGGGCGCGTTTACTAAAGGCCTCGCGTGTCGGGGTGGTTATTATCGGGGTGGATTTTTGCCCTCTATTCAAGGACGTATCTCCACGTTCTGCTCCCACGTCTCCGACTCCAGCTACGGCCGTTCCGACTCCCCTGTCTCTAGTTGTGGCTATCGTTTCTCCTGCTCCCGCTTCAGTGGTCGGCTCTCCGAT